GGGAGGGAGGGAGGGAGGGAGCGAGGTCAACCAGGGTTAGCAAGTACAACATGCCATCTCGTGCTCACCGAGGGGCGCTCGCGTTCTCAGACAGTCACAACACACGCGCACGTTTAGTGCAGAGATAGTTAACCACTATTTCTCCACATCGGGTCGGTAAGTTCGGGTCGGGCCAGAAAATCTCACTTGCCAACGCATGTGCTTCAGGTATAATTCAGCAAAATTAATATAAATAAACAGCCTATAAACAGCACAGATTCTCGCTCAACAGCATGTTCTATGAGCTTTACAATCTTATTGTTATCCCAACAGAACTGAAAACATTTTGATACGATATCAACTCAGTGACCCCTACCACCAAGCAAGTGCGGTACTCTCCATAGTCATTGCAACACTGTTGAAACATAGGGTGTAATACCAAATAACAGAAGATAATTATAGATGCTAACAATATTTTGCAGAACAATGACAATTTACGTGTGTCAGGATTCCCAGTGATGATACTAATATTTTTCTTATGAAAACAAATCACATTGGGGCTCACAGTTAGCTCAGTTTGTATAACGCTGGACTACTGAGCGGATGTCCCAACTTCGAATCCCCAAACTAAGCGTTCTGAACTTGAGTTGATTTGGAGAGTTTTTATGGCTTTTCACCCATTTCCCTCGGCCCTTTCGGAGATAGAAGATAAATCCGGAGGTCCCACCTCTTAAATAACCTTACAGTGATGAAAGCAGCGTTAAAACTGGCTATATCCGGCATTCCCAGGCTAGATACTAAAACATTATTACAGGGTAAATGTCTGTTTGAGGTCTCGCTCCTTAAAATCAGCCGTGGTCGCCTTTCGCGGGCATGAGTGGGGACCCCTGATGTGCGTAGTAGTTGTAGGTAAAATAAGTTCAGAATGGATGCCTCAGTTAGACATTTGCACACTACAGCACATAGCTGGAGATGAAAACCGGTCGCTTGATGATCTTTAAAAAAACAACAACCAAAACAATACCAAACCTCTCTCCCCCCAAAAACCCCCCCCAAAAAAAACCCCAAAAAAACCCCAGAAACCAAAAAAAAACAACAACCCAGAAAGAAACCAACAATCCAAAACAAATCCAGAAAAAAAAATCTTATTTCGCAGAAACCGAATTGGGCAAGGCAAAAATGGCATCAACTTTTAAAAACACACAAGGCCTGAACAGAAAAAATGAAATTCCATTAGTATACATATACCCTGCAAAACTGGTCAAGCGGGTATCCTGTTTCACAGCTGGAAAACTTAACTCACGTTAGCGAAACAGCAACCGGATAGGGAGAACGTATTTACGATAATCTCGACACATGAGCAGACAGACACGCAACGAAAGCCAACGACCCTCGAAGACGGCTCAAGGATTCTACGAGTACGCGGAGAAAGCACTCAACAAATTTCACGCTTCTGCGAGGCTCATTGGCACATTCTTGCATCCTATCTCTATCCGCGCACGTGTTTCTTTGAGTCAGATCAGAACGGATAAAAATCAAATCTGGACTTTTCGAACGCTATTAAAAGCCGCAGCCTAGTTTCGTTTCTTTGACCGTCAAAAGTCCAGTTTATGTTTTTGCGCGTACATACGTAGTAATTACAAGCCATGTCGATGGTGGTGGTTGTGGTGATGATGATGATGATGATGATGATGATGATGATGATGATGATGGCGATGATTTCTTGTTTCCTGCTGCGTTTAGGGAATATATGAAATCTTGGTTCTTTCGATATGGAGCACGGTTAAGCACCATGTTTCATAGTATGAGACCATGCACTTCGCTGTGTTTGCTCATAATTACCACGAGGACGGTTTAAGCATTAATTCTTCCTCTACAAATGTTAGAACACACTGCTTGTCATATGGAGTGAAAGAGTCGTTCATGTTACTTTATCCCATATCACAAGGATGATGAAGATGAGGATGACTATGATGATGAAGATGGCAACGACGACAAAAACGACGAGGACGACGCACATCTCAGAACAGCTGTTTACTTGAGAATGTCATACCGTAAGCTGTTGCCATTCAAAGGAGAGGGAAGATAGGCAGACAGACATACAGACAGACAGACAGACAGACAGATAGATAGATAGATAGATAGATAGATAGATAGATAGATAGATAGATAGATAGATTGATTGATTGATAGATACGCGACAAAATAGACTTCTAATAATATTCATTTGAAAAATATAAATAAACAAACAAGTATTTTTGTAGAGGTTTTAGGGCGCTCGCAACTGCATAAGGTCATATGAGCGCCAGAAGAATAGATGAGTTACAAGAGAGTAACAAACATAAAAAAGAAGAAGGGGAGATAAGGACAATAGATGTTTGATAGGAAAGAAGAAGCAGCAAACCACACCAGAGCATCCGCCAACCACCCACGAAGTAACTAGATCGAGCAAAATACTAAAGAGGGCATTGTGCTATTGCATTTCCCTGAACACGCAGCGACTTTTAATTAATATAGATGTTTTCGGTTTACTATAATAATATAATATATTGTATGCTTCCCAGGAAGCTGAGAATGTTTCGGAGTGTTCTATGGTCTGCTGGGGTAATAATATAGTGTAAAGCGCATAGAGCCTGCTGCTGAGCGGGGATATGCACTATACAAATGCTATCTATTATTATTATTATTATATTGTTTCACCATTTTCGCGTACCTTTAATCACTCAACCCAAGCACACAAACCACCAGAAAGTGGGCACTTCTGAAGACAAACTTCATCAACAGAAATGATCTCTGACAAGCAACAAAAACCAGGTGGCCACTACTCTCGTTTTACCATGTTCGCGAAATGAAAGGGTAGTTGGAGTACCTAAAAGAATAAAAGCTCACGCATCATCAACATAAAATAATATTATTCCGTAAGGGTGGACTCGTACACAGAGGGGTACAGTACCTCAGCAGATACTATTTGATAATAAAAACTTTAAAAAATAATCAAAATCGAAATACTGGTCGCACGCTGATTCGGTACTCTGCTGTTGAACAACAAACCTAGTTTAATGAGAGTTTTACAGCACTTGCAACAAAGTAAAGTCATAAAAGAGCCGAAGATTTGAAGTGTGTTACAAGAGAGTAACAAACATGAAAATAGAGGAGAGAAAAGGCCAATAGATATTTGATAGGAAAGAAGGAGCAAACCACACCAGAGCACCCAACAACTACCCGCAACAACTAACCAACTTTTCCAGAAAAAGAAAACACACTAAAGAAAAAAGAGGGGAAAAATAAATGAAGCAATTAACCAGAGGGCGCAATTTGTATGGGATCATGCAAAAACAACAACAACGAGCAGGAATCGAACTCAAGGCTCCCGTTTGCAAGGCTCTTTCTCCAAGAGTTTTAACTTTCTAAAATAATATCAGCAGATCAATTAGGTGGTTTATATGGTAAACACATTGACACTACGTTCATCCCACTGTGCTTGCTTATAATAAACTCAGTACCACGTCCTTCCCACTGTGTCTGCTGATAATAAACATAGTAACACGTCTTTACTTCTAACTGTGTCCACAGATAACGAACAGCGCGTCCTCCATGGACATGAACTTCCTGGTGGAGCGACGCCTCTCCCTGCTGGAAAAAGAGTTCGAGATGTTGCACCACGACATGAACGCCGCGCCCACCACCGGGGAGCGCAGGGGTCAGTCGGAGCGGCCGTCGGCAGACTCCGGAAGTAGCCGGACGTCCGAGGCTCTCAACAAAATCTTCCCGCTGGACGGGGACGACACACCGTCGGCAGCCCTGCCCACCATGATCAGGTCGATCGTACAATCCGAGATCAAGGTCGTCATGGAGAACTTCACAAGAAAGTTCGAGAACTACGTGCGGGATCAGATTATTCTGTACAACCAGGTGTTCAGCATGCTGCCCAGACGCAACAATGGCGTGACCATTTCCTCGGGAAGGACGGCCGGCTCCCCTAGCTCCAGGGGACGGAGCCAGACTGGCGAGTCCACGCCTACGGAGGGGAGGGGTCAGGACAAGAATAACCGTCACCTGGGTGAGTTCGCTAAAGTGAAAGCGAAGTTGGATGATACGGGCGACAAAATAGCGAGACAAGTGGGAACTTATATAAAAAACGTCACATCCTCTACATCCAGTTCCCGTTCTCATCCCAACACCTCTGACAGCATCACTCTGGACATGGAAGGGGTGCCCCGCGCTAACAACTCCGGGATTATTCTGAACGAAGATTTCCCGGACACGAATTATTCTTATAGTGGCGACCACCCAGAGCACCAGCATGGAAAGTTAGACACCGACCAGCCGTTGACCGGTGCCAGTGGTGACATTTCGGACGCGGCGTCCTCTCGTATCACAAATCCTTCCGGGAAAGCTCGAAACTCCTCCACCTCTTCTTCCTCCAGGGATAAAGACGGGAGGAACTGGAAGGAGAACATGATACAAGACGAGAAAGACCGTCAGGCGGAGATGGAGGTACGTCTCAAAGAAGAGATCACTAACATGCTGTACACTCCACTGGCTGAGCTGATGAGCCTGGTGGAGAAACAAACGGCCAGGCTGGAGCAGCAGATGAAAGAACTCGAAGAGAAAGAGAACGAGGCCAACAGCGAACTGACATCTCAGGTCAAGGACATTGACCAGAGCGTGCAGACTATAGAGATGCAGGTGGAATCGCTATCACAAGGCTTCCAGGATTACTCTGTCATGCTGAACAAGATCAAACCTTTAGAGTCTGAAGTGGCCGAGCTGGAGAAAAATATCACAGCCTTGGCCGCCAGCGAAGCGACATCCTCAGAGCTGGAGGAGCAGGCCAAGAAGGTGAAGAAGTTAGAGCGTCTAATGGGTGTCTATCACCAGTCTCTCGAGCATTATCGGAACGAGACGAAACACGAGTACCGTGATATGAGAGACGTATTGAACAAAGAAACAGCCGCGCTCAGGGCAATGGCGGGTGACATTGACGGTGATGTGAATTCTGCAGTGAAGGTGGCTGTGAACAAGCTCAACAACACGTACATGGAGAAAATAGCCGAGCTTAACAAGCTAATCGAGCTGCAAGGGGATAACGTGATGCTGGCGCAGATAGACATCTCCGCTGTTGAACGGCAACTGGACAGCAAAGCAACGCGCTCGGACCGGGAGATCGAGGACATGGAAGACGCCATAAAACATCTGACAAACAAACAGCGCGACTTCCGAAAACGCTTCGACCTCATGGAGCAGAGCCAAATGATGCTCGGGGAGGTCATCAACACGACAGCCAAAGACGTTTTCGACCTCAAGACGGAGCTCAAACTGAACGTCCTGGACGAGTGGCTACCCATGACGTTCGAGTACGACTCGTCTCGAACCGAGTGCTTTGGGGAACAATACGTTCGTCGCTCAAAATACAAAGACGCGCGCCTCGTGGGAGTCGTTCTCTGCTCACCCACGAGGTACAAAATCTTTTTGGCCACCTCCCTGCATTCCACATTCCTCAACATAGGGGACGGAAACGGGATGGGAGAGGACCACTGCGAGTTTGTGGGCGCCACCAGGGACAGCCATATAATGCTGAGCCCGTTCAAGGTGTCCTACGGGGCCGTGCAAGGTAAGGTGGAGGAAATATGAGCGAGTCTGTTCTCTTCGTGACTAGAGAGAGAGAGAGGGG